CTTTGGCTTCAGCCCCGGGTAGCACAATTTAAAATCAAGTCCCAACCCCACCCCCACCCACACCCACTTGAAATTTACAAACATGTCTTATTTTCCTTTTAAAAAGGGGGAAAGTGTTAAAAACAAATATGACATCGGGGGATCCCGGGTATTGTCACCATTTGCTCTAGGGCCCATGTTAAAACTGGTAACCCCCGAAAGGGTAGTTTTTTGGGTCCTAGTTTTTTTAATCCCTGTCCCCAAAACTGGTTTTAAAAGACCCATTCCCCTCTTTCAAGGCGACTAAGGCCCTATTCCCTTTAAACAATCTGGATGATTAAAGCCAAATTTTACCCTGTAATTAAAAATTTTATTTTTTACCTCATCCAAACTGTAATAAATTTTGTCTGGGAGTACAAAAATCACATAAAAAATTTTTAATCTTTAACTAGAAAAATTTTAAAAATTTAAAAAGCATTAAAAAAAGAAAACTTTAAAAGTGTATTCTTTGGTTCCTTTTCCCACAACCAGAATTATCAAATTTCCCAAACAAATTTATCACAAACTAGACTATCCTTTCTGACTTACAAATTTTAACTAAAAATATCAAAAAACAAACAAATCGGGCCGGCCTTTACTAATTTATACAATATCAAAAACAGGGACTATCCTGTCCCCACTATAAACAAAACCTTCAAACCACCATTTAAACGCACGACCCCTTTTCTTTTAAAGTGTCACGACACCCTTGTCTCTGCTTTTTAAAACCAAAACCATCTCAAATGTGCCCAAATAAAACCCTTTGTTCTGTGTACATTATGCATTTTTGTTTTACCATTTTCCAATAAAACCCTTGCCCTCCATGACATCTATAAAACCTTCGCTACCGGCCCACAAGAAACCCTTATCTCCTGTAAATCTACACACTTTCCAAACCTAGGCCCACAAACCCCCTTATCTCCATGAAAATCAAACCACCTTTCGCCCCCGTGTCCAAAAGCCCACCCTTATTCCGTTATAACACATGTGTCCAAAAGAAACTTCCCGGGTCAGTCCTCCACCACCGTGGGTCCCAAAACAAAGGGCCCAGTCACTCCCATCGGGGAAACTATTAGTCAGCAGGAAACTAAGTTATTCGATGCCACGGGAAAACCAAGCCCAAATTTTTTTCCCCAGCGGGAAATTTTCGTTTCGCAGGAGACGTTATCACAAAGTAAAAGGCTGTGAAGCCCGTGCAAAACTCACACTATTTTATGAGGTTTTAACTCTCAAAATTGAGTGTGCAGAACCCCCTTATTTGTGAGTAAAACTGAATGAGGCCGTCAATAAATACTGGGGGCCGTAAGACGGGGGAGTTTGGGGTAAAACAAACTAAGTGAGGTTGGTTCACCACCCTCAGTAAAGTGCATTACTCACACTGGGTACTTTTTGCCCGGGCAGCAGCACCGAAGTGCTCAATAAACCACTTCCCCAATTGTCTCTTTTGGGGGTTTTTGTAAAATCCCCCCAATTTTAAAAGGAAAAAAAATTTAAAACGTTAAATCTCCTTTTCGGGGAGCGCTAAAACGAGAAAATTTGTATACCCCGTTTGGAAAAGTTTAAGGGGTTAAATAAAAAACATTGTCGGATTTTTTTTTTTTTCTCATTATGCACCCTGTTTACGGGAAATTTTTTTTATACTGCCACACTACCACACGACTCATTTTTTCATATGTAGGTCTACCAGCTTTTTTTCCCCCAAGTTTTAAAGGAAAAAATTTTTTTTGGCACGTTTTTTAAACCCGGGATCGACACGGCTCCCAAGCCATAAAAATTAGGGGACAATATAAAAAGAAATTGTGGTAGGGGACCTGAATAAAAAAAGGGGAGAAAACTTTTAGAGAGGGTGGGGTAGGTAAGGGGGGGTCCCAAGTGTAAATGTTTAAAGGGAAACCCCTTTGATTGAACTTTGTATAGAAATGGCTTTAGTTATAGGTAATAAAAATTTTTTTAAAAAAAAAGAGGATAAATAATATAAAAGAATGAGTAGGGCAAAATGACAGTAGTTTGTTGGTTTTGGGTTTTTGGGATTAAAAAAACTGTTGATTTAGCCCTTCAGGATGTACTTGTTTATAGGGGGGCCACGAAACACCCGATCACTTTTTTATTTTGTAGAAAAACTGAAGTAAAAGAAGAGGGATACAAGGAAAATGGGAAGCTTTCAGGGAAGAGAAAAGGTAAAGGTTTATAAACTAAAAGAGGGGGAGTTAGGGTAAAATAAAAAAAACAGCTATTGGAGGATAGTTTTGGGTTTAAAGAGGGGCTTAGGCAATGGGGCGAAGAGGTAGGGGGTAGGTTTTAAAAAAATTTTGTGTTAGGGGTGTTCAGAGAAAAGTTTGTGGTTACGGGGAAAGTGGGTGCGGGGGGAAGAGGAGAAATTTCCCGTGGAATGTGATGTAAAGAGAGTAGTAAAAGGGGAAAAAGTTAGTTATGAGAAGTTTTTTGCAAATTTGAAGTGTGGGGAGGAGGGGAAAAGTATATGGAGAAAAAGAGAGAGGTTAAAGGGGATTGTGAAGCAAAAAAAAAAGAGAGCAAATTAGAGAGTTGGGGTTTAGTTTTTATTTAACAAAAATTTGTTGAAAAGGAAAAAATTTTGGGTGAGATTAACAAGTTAAGGGCCCAGAGAACAAATGGATTTGTCATTTTAAAAAAGGGGAGGAGAGTTTTTTAAAAGGAGGTTAGAAAGGGGGTTTTGGGGGGAAAGGAAGGAATATTTTTAGGGGAATTTTTAAATTTAATGAAGGGTGGGAACTTGAATTTCGGTAAAAAGGGCCCTGGAGGAATTTAAACAACCTTTTTAAAGGGTGAGGAAGAACCCGGGTTTTGGTGTGGGGGGAAGTTCTTGAGGCAGGAGGTTTAAAAAGAAAGGGGGTAAGGCAGCCCGGGAAAGATGGGATAAAAGGGTAGAAATGTTTTTTAAAAAAACCGGGGGGGATATAAATTTGGGAGGGTTGGTGCAATTATTTAATAAATGTATGGAAGAGGGTAAGGGACCTAGGGATTGGCAGAGAGCATGCATAGTTCCTTTGTATAAAGGCAGAGGGGACAAAAGAGAGTGCAAAAATTATAGGGGGAAAAGTCTGTTGAGTATACCTCATAAAGTGTATGGTAGAGTTATTATTGAAAGAATTAAGAGTAAGACGGAGAATAGGATAGCAGATGAACAAGGAGGCTTTAGGAAAGGTAGGGGGTGTGTGGACCAGGTGTTTACAGTGAAACATATAAGTGAACAGTATTTAGATAAGGCTAAAGAGGTTTTTGTGGCATTTATGGATTTGGAAAAGGCATATGACAGGGTGGATAGGGGGGCAATGTGGCAGATGTTGCAGGTGTATGGTGTAGGAGGTAGGTTACTGAAAGCAGTGAAGAGTTTTTACGAGGATAGTGAGGGTCAAGTTAGAGTATGTAGGAAAGAGGGAGATTATTTCCCAGTAAAAGTAGACCTTAGACAAGGATGTGTGATGTCACCGTGGTTGTTTAATATATTTATAGATGGGGTTGTAAGAGAAGTAAATGCGAGGGTCTTGGCAAGAGGCGTGGAGTTAAAAGATAATCACACATAAAGTGGGAGTTGTCACAGTTGCTCTTTGCTGATGACACTGTGCTCTTGGGAGATTCTGAAGAGAAGTTGCAGAGGTTGGTGGATGAATTTGGTAGGGTATGCAAAAGAAGAAAATTAAAAGTGAATACAGGAAAGAGTAAGGTTATGAGGATAAAAAAAGATTAGGTGATGAAAGATTGGATATCAGATTGGAGGGAGAGAGTATGGAGGAGGTGAATGTATTCAGATATTTGGGAGTGGATGTGTCAGTGGATGGGTCTATGAAAGATGAGGTGAATCATAGAATTGATGAGGGGAAAAGGGTGAGCGGTGCACTTAGGAGTCTGTGGAGACAAAGAACTTTGTCCTTGGAGGCAAAGAGGGGAATGTATGAGAGTATAGTTTTACCAACGCTCTTATATGGGTGTGAAGCATGGGTGATGAATGTTGCAGTGAGAAGCTGGAGGCAGTGGAGATGTCATGTCTGAGGGCAATGTGTGGTGTGAATATAATGCAGATAATTTGTAGTTTGGAAGTTAGGAGGAGGTGCGGGATTACCAAAACTGTTGTCCAGAGGGCTGAGGAAGGGTTGTTGAGGTGGTTCGGACATGTAGAGAGAATGGAGCAAAACAGAATGACTTCAAGAGTGTATCAGTCTGTAGTGGAAGGAGGGCGGGGTAGGGGTCGGCCTAGGAAAGGTTGGAGGGGAGGGGGTAAAGGAGGTTTTGTGTGCGAGGGGCTTGGACTTCCAGCGGGCATGCGTGAGCGTGTTTGATAGGAGTGAATGGAGACAAATGGTTTTTAATACTTAACGTGCTGTTGGAGTGTAAGCAAAGTAACATTTATGAAGGGATTCACTGAAACCGGCAGGCCGGACTTAAGTCCTGGAGATGGGAAGTACAGTGCCTGCACTCTGAAGGAGGGGTGTTATTGTTGCAGTTTAAAAACTGTAGTGTAAAGCACCCTTCTGGCAAGACAGTGATGGAGTGAATGATGGTGAAAGTTTTTCTTTTTCGGGCCACCCTGCCGTGGTGGGAATCGGCCAGTGTGTTAATAAAAAAAAAGTAATTCTGAAAGGGTTAATAAAGCATCATGACTGCCACCTCTCTATGTCAGTTGTCCTTCCTTGTGTTGCTTTGCTGATTATCATCCAGCACCAGCTGGAGGTCAACTATGCAACTAGAGCTAGAAAAAATGGTAGGAGAAAGAAAAGCTTACTGACGTAAGTGGCAGGCAGGTCCCTGCAGCTTGTAGTGGGGAGACAATTCTGAGCTGTTGTAACATGTAGTAATTTAGTACAGAAAGGTGTTTTTCATATATCAAAATTATCTATTATGTGCTAATTTTTTTCTACTATTTCATTAAGGGCTCATAATAAATTTCTTAATACAATTTTTTTGGAGGGTTTATTAAATATTATTTAACGTATTTCCTGTTTTAGTATGTGGAGCCGAGTGATTCTGCGAAGGTGACTCAAGCAGAGTTGTTGGTGATAGATGAAGCTGCTGCTATTCCTCTTCTTCATGTCAAATCTCTCATTGGCTCCTATAATGTCTTCATGGCATCTACGATTAATGGGTATGTGATCTCATATGTGAAGGTATAAATCAAAACCATGTACAGTGTATACATTCTTGCCACTAACTGTCACAAATCAGTCACTGCATATAGGTGACTACACACATCATTCACCCAGCATTCTCTCGCTAGTTGTATTTTTCATGACTAATTCATCTTATATTTCTTAATGTGCTCAAGATTGGCCCTATTTCTTCCCTTAGTCTGGCTGACTGCCAGAGTAGTGCATCCATCACATGATTAAGGAGTGGATGATCAGGTTTCCACCACTCCTTACACTGAATGACCCACATATAAATATAATAATGATCAAGGTTAGTCCCATAAGATTGATTATAAGAGACCACAAGAAAAGTTATTAAATCATTCAGATGTACACAATAATGACTGGGATTATCACTGATAGTTCAGATAAAACTGCTGAAACCAAAATAAAACCCAATAAAAGTTAAGTCAAATCGATAAAACACAGCCAGCAACAAATCTACTACTTGTTTTTATAGTCACTTTTTATTGTGTGTGCAATTAGTGTATATTCCAATTACTTTTTTGCAAGTACCAAAACTATCTTTTGCTAGCTAGTACCAACTACCTCATTTTTTTTACTTTTTATTGTGCAATAAACTGCTCAACTTATTTAATATTACAAATCAGATCTTACTCCTAAACCAATATTATTTCATAGTGACTATCTGTCCATTTAACTTTGTTTACCATTACTTAATTGTAGTCTCTTATATATTTTTTTCCTTTATTTTAGCTTTATATAACTACCTTGTTCAATATTCACAATGTTAAAATAATCAAGGTGCTATTCTCAGGTGCAAAATTTTAATAAGTTCACTATTTTGCCATTAAAATCCAAAGCTCATTTATTTGATTACCACTTTATTGTTCACCACAACTTATATTAGTCCCTTTTATATTTTTAATTTTATATTATAATTCTAACTTTAAGAATTACCTTTAAAGTACTACCTACAATCATATTCCAAGCTCCATTATTTGATCATCACTTTATTTGTTCACCAAAAATTTAAATTTTATTCCCTTTTATATTGTCTCCTTTTTTTTTTAGCTTTAAAAAACACCTTAGCTCATTATTTTTTACATTTGTTAAATAATTCAGGTGTTTATTTTTTTAGCTTTAAAATATTTACTTTGTTCATACTTAATTCTAAATATAATTCACTACAAATCTTATAAATTACAAGCATTGATCCTGATACCAACCTCTTATTTATGACTTAAAATGATTCAAACAGTTACTGTAATTACTACACAGCAGAACAATCAAAGGCACTTCTCAGACCCAACAACAACATAACATCTTTAAACTACAATATCAGATCTTTAAGCAAGCTTTAAACGATGACCTCCTAGCATTACTAAATTCCTTTGCATGCCAAATATGTCCATCATTACACTAACTGAAACCTGGCAAAAGCCGATACTACAGATGTCTATGCCATTCCAGGTTACACAGCCATACACAACTGTAGGCCATACCAACAAGGGGGGTGGCACAGCTATATACTACTCAGACCACCTAGAATGTATCACTAATACTTGCACAAGGGATGAACATGGGGGATATATAATAGCTAAATTCAAATCCAAATACCTACAAAAACCTCTCACAATGATAAACATCTACAGAGTTCCACAATCAAACATTAGCCAATTTAGTCAAAACCTAGGAAGTATGATAACTGATGCACGCATGAACAAAGATCACTTACTACTCTCAGGTGACTTCAATATAAATCTCCTGCAAGACCAGGACCCACACGTTACTGAATTCACAAACTCAATGAGTAACTGCATGTTGCTACCAACAGTAACAAAACCTACAAGTGTTTCCCTACTTGACCACATCAGGACCAACACCATATCCCCTTTAAAATCAGGCATAATTACAGATAATACCACAGACCACTACCCTACTTTCCTCATAACAACTCTTGGTAAAATACCCCAAGACACTACTAAAGTCACCTTCAGACTTCACAATGAGGCAGCCATTAATAACTTCACAACAGAGTAACAAACATTGACTGGCACACTGAGCTAGAAATCTATACAGATATTGACGAATGTTTTAATAATTTTCTGAAAAAGACCCAAAACCTCTATAACAAGCACTGCCCTAAAAAAACTAAACAGATGGCAGCTAAAAGACTGAACAGTCCTGGCTAACACCCAGCATTCTCAAATCCATAAATACAAAACACCGATATGAAAACAGTACAGAATGGATCACATAACCAGAGACCAACAAAAACGTTACTCGTCAATCCTAACCAGCCTGATAAGAAGGGCAAAAAAAATTGTATTATGAGAACAGATTATCCAACTTGCGAGGTGATATAAAAAAGACCTGGAAAGGACCCTATCAGAAATTCGGGGAAAAAAAAAAGATATCACGAAATGCGAAATAAAATTAGCAAAATCAGATGACACCCAACTCCCACCAACAGAAACAGCAAACAGACTCAATGTTTTTCTTCTCCACTATAGGACAAAACCTTGCAATAAAATCCCAACTCAGATACCCCCCAAATGACACCTCTCACTGGCAACTACCCGAACACACTGTTCCTAGCTCCGACTAACCATACGAAGTTCCCTTATTATCAACGCACTAAAAAAACAAGGCAGGAGATTTAAATACCTTACCACCCTTTATATACAAAAAAGTGTCACAAGTATATCACCAATCATTGCACACTCTTTAACAAATCCATTGAATCCTCCACCTTCCCTACGTTTCTCAAATAGCAAGGGTCCCCCCGATCCATAAAGGAGGAGACCAAACAGAGTTGAAAAACTATAGGCCAATATCCAATTTACCCCCTCTCTCAAAAATCTTCAAAAAAAATTAATTCATAACGAATCTACTCCTACCTCATCTCCCAAAACATTCTCAACCCTGCCAATTTGGATTCAGACCTAAAAAAATACTAATGATGTTTATTATACACATGCTAGAACATATGTACACTGCAAAAGAGAAAAAAGAAGTCCCACTGGGGATCTTCATTGACTTACGTAAAGCTTTTGAAACAATTGACCATGACTTGCCCACGTTAAAATTGTCACACTATGGTATTAGAGGGCACTCCCCTCAACTCCCTCAAGTCATCCCTCAGCAACAGAAGCCAATATGTGTAACGCAAATGGGGCAAGCTCTTCCGCAAAAACCAATTACAGTTGGTGTCCACAGGGAAGTGCCCTTTGGGCCCTCTTCTCTTCTCCTATACATAAATGACCTACCAAATGCTTCGCAATTACTCAAACCCACACTTTTTGCAGATGATACTAAAATACTCTTCTCTCACCCTAGCCCAGTCATGCTAGCCAATACTGTAAACACTAATTACAGTAAAATATCTACCTGGATGATGACTAACAAACTTACACTAAACATTAAACAAAACCTACTTCATTCAGTTTGGTAACGAGCTACAGATGTACCTCTTAACATAACGATAAACAGATCACCTATCACAAAGCAAAACAGAGGGAAAATTCTTAGGAACCCACCTTGAAAAAGACTCAAATTTCATACACATATACAACAAATTTCTAAAAAAATTTTTCCAAGACTGTAGGCATACTATCAAAGATACGGTACTATGTTCCACAGTCAGCCTCCTGGCCCTTTATCACTCTCTTATTTACCCCTATCTCACCTAGGAATTTGTGCAGGGGGCTCAGCAACAATTAACCATCTCAGACCACTAATTCCCCAAAACAAAAGGCTGCAGTTAGAATGAAACAAATTCTTACTACAGGCAGCACACTCCACCAATATTCAAAACACTCAACCTACTCACCATACAAAACATCCATACTTATTATTGCACTATTACATACATAGAACACTTAACTCTGATATTAACCTCCCTCAAACATCTTCCCAAACCCCTCAACAGAACACATGACCATAACACAAGGCACAGATCACTCTTTGATGTTCCTCGGTCCCAACTCACGCTATGCAAAAACTCAATGAAAACATAAAAGGCCCTAAAATCTGGAATTCATTACTGGTAATATAAAAGAAACACTACCTGTTTATAAATTCAGTCTCTTCTCAAGATAACTTACTCACTCAAAACCAAATAAATACGAATAACTGAACCTTATAAATTGTATATCCTAAATGTTAAATCACAATTATATCACACAAATGTTAAACCCAGGACCCAATCTAACTTTGTTATTTTTTTAAATACACTACCTAACAGAATACTCCATTCGACTGAATGTACAGCAATGCATGCAACCATATGACCTGTCTTTGTAATACTCATTTGTGCTTTATAGTTATCTGTTTACAATAACGTTTTATCACTGATTACATCATTGCTTAGTTAATCTTAAGTTAATTTTAAGCCAGCCCGTAATGCTATGCATATAAGTGGCTTTGGCATGCTGCTCTTACCTGTATTTTTTTGTACCTCTGTATGTATGCTAAAATTACTAAATAAATAAATAAATAAATAAATGTGTCAGTACCATGCCTTTGGAGTTTGCCTGATAAAATGAATGGAACATGTGGCTCCAACCTTTCAAGGAAATCCGATAATTGCCAAACAAAAGGATATTTCCTTCCAAGACTCACCACTACAAAGGATCCCACATATTCTACCAATTTTTTTGCATTTTCAGTACATTATAATAGAAATTTTGTTCCCAGGATCAAGTTTTGCAGGAAAATAACACTTGATCATGTCATAAGGCTTTGGGAAATAAAGCTTCATTGCAGAGTGAGATTTCCCTCCATGTCTAGGGCAAGGCCATCATTTTAAGGGAAAGGAATAGCTTCACTCTTTAGTATAAAGAGTCGCTCACACTATCATTTGTATTGTTGACGTTTCCCATACCATACTTTCTACCCTGTTTATCACTCCATTTTCAATCTTTCATTTCTCCATCTCATTTCTTTGCACTCAAAGGAGCCAACGAGAAGTATAAGCATGAAAGTATGCCTGTGTCAAAAAAATTTGATTTAATAGATATGCTTCAAGATGGTGCATGGGCCTTGGAGACAGCAGGTGCCTTGTGTTAGAGAATCAACTATTTGTTTAGTTCAAGACAGTGAGATGAAGATAAGAGGTTGTGCAATGGGTAATCCAAATTGTAATTTGGTGAAAAAAATGGAAATGCCAGTACACTTTTCAATTCATTTGTGCTCTCTCATTTGTAATATTGCTTAGTGTTGATGACCCCTGTTCAGAGCAGGAGAAATATCAGGGTTGGAATAGATACAGAGATTTTTTAAGGTCCACATACAGGCAGTGAAACATTTAGATTACTGGAAGCACCTTAAAGTTGTAAATATTTACTCCCAGTACTGGAGCAGAGGAGAGAGAGATATATAATAATAAATACCTGGAAAGTACTTTAGGGCCTTATCTGCACACTGCCATAATAATTAAGGAACACTGTATCAACATCCATGGCCCCAGAGTATTCAACATCTTACCAGAAGATATCAGAAACACCGCTGGAACAAGTGTAGAAATCTTCAAGAGGAAATTAGACAAGTATCTTCACCAGGTGCCAGATCAGCCAGGCTGTGGTGGATATGTGAGTCAGCGGGTAACCAACAGCAGCAGGCTGGTTAACCAGACAAGCACTAGATGAGCTTGGCCCAAGGCCAGGCTCCATTAGAAAAACTCTTGAAACTCAAAGGTAAAGTCAAAGGTAAAGGCTCCTAAATTGAATAGAAAAGTTAGTGAATGTATGGACTGAGCAGAAAACAAAGAAAGGTGTTCTACTTAATGACCTTAAGATCGGGGAGAAAGCTGTATCTTACCTTACGACAATGTGCTAGCAGGAAGGAAAACCTCCACATGAGTTGTTTCTGTTTTTACTTCTGGGTAGGTTAGCCATTGTAAAGTGCACAGTGGGCTGCATAACATAAAATTCAGTCAGGAAAATGTGTCTGCTAGTTATTTCCTCCTGCCAAGGAGTAGGAAATTATTATTGAGGGTGGTTACAAATCAGGTCAAGTGTTTATTGCTGATGAGACAGGATGAAATTGGAAGATGTTTTCTAGAACTTATATCAGCAAGCAAGAGAAAAGTAAACCTGGACTCAGGGCTTGTTCTTGTGCACTGTTGCATCAAGTGATTTAAAGTGCAATCCCATGCTTCTTTATCACTCACAGAATCTCTGTTTAAAAGGTATAGCCAGAAACTTTTTTTGCCTATTATTTGATGATCTAACAAGAGAGCATGGATGAGTGACATTGTTTTCTGACTGGAGAAAGATGTATTTTTTCCTTCAGTCAAGATGTAGCTTGTCAGAAAGAAACTTTCATTCATGGTTCTCCTCACTTTTGATTATTCTCTTAACCATCCTCAACTCTTGCAGTCACCGAGAAATGATAGTAATGTACAATAGACTGCCGATTAAGGCAAGATCTATTAACACTTTTGCTGTAAGCTGGAAAAATTCAGCAATTTTTTGACGAATGCACCATGATGTTCATTTAGGGCAGCAAAAATTTAGGGAAAAATATTGCAGAAATTTGTTGCAGCAGTTTATACTGACTCATATGGATGCGACTCCTGGCATAAGTTTAACATTGCTTAGAATGAAGTACCCCAGTCATCATTAAAGGCAAGCTGGAAAAAATTATGGCTCTCGCGAAGTTAGTGACCTTGGCGATATTTATGAATCAGCGATTTCGCCCACTTTGAGCCTTATTTTCGACTAATTCCATTGTTTCAGTCGACCAAACTCATAGCTACTTCTTTAGAACTCCATTTGTTCTATCGATTGAATACAAGAAACTGCCCATTTACCAATTTCAACTACCCAATAAAGTGATTTCTGTCAGTAGCATTAGTGTCTGGTTGTCTTCTGAAGTGTCAGACCAAGCCCGTGACTCCAACATTTGTTCAGTACAGGCCTGAGCAGCCATGTCCAGGACCTCTCTGTTTTCATTGTTCCCTGAACCACAGGCTACCTGTGCATTCATCATTCAATTTCTAATTTTCCATGGATTTAGAATGTTTTATGCAACTTTATTAACATATTCAGTAAAGTGCAATTGATAATGACATCTTAAGCCAAGTGGTGGTGCCAAGATGAATCGTGAGCATGTGTTTCTTGGCATTAAGCAGAAATTTGAACTAAGAAGGTTGAGTCTAGCATCTCAGTGGCATGGGTATGTGAGGAATATGGTGTTAAGAAACAGTCTCTGATATCTGTAGAAGCAAGGACAAACTTAGCAATTATGCTCTTAAGTTTAACGTATATACTAGTGGAGCTTTACAGTTCCTCTGACTTACAATTACAGTTATACTGAGTCACCACTAGCAGTCATGGTGGGTTACACCTCATCTCTCCACCACAAAAAATTAAGTAAAATTACTGTAAATATGTGCAGTACTATAAATTTGCTATACAGTACAGTACTGTAATGTAATAATAAAGGTTACAGTGCTCATAATCTTAGGGTCTGGTACTCTTCTGAACTGGGAGATCAAGTTGCTAGTTCAAAAACTAACCAGATCATGAAAAATTAATTTCATAATTCATGAGTTTCAGACAGTCAGAAATATCTTACACTCCCTTCTCCTGTAGTAGTCCATTAATGTGAGTGATCACTGTATATTTGTAGTTTAAATAATAATGTTGTGTTTCAGGTATGAGGGCACTGGTCGATCACTATCACTCAAGCTGCTTCAGCAGCTGCGAGAGCAAACAGGCATGTCAGGAGCTCCATCTACAATAACAGAGGTTTCTCCATTCTCTAGTAAGCAAGATTAACTCATGTTTTTTTTTTTATTATCACACTGGCCGATTCCCACCAAGGCAGGGTGGCCCGAAAAAGAAAAACTTTCACCATCATTCACTCCATCACTGTCTTGCCAGAAGGGTGCTTTACACTACAGTTTTTAAACTGCAACATTAACACCCCTCCTTCAGAGTGCAGGCACTGTACTTCCCATCTCCAGGACTCAAGTCCGGCCTGCCGGTTTCCCTGAATCCCTTCATAAATGTTACTTTGCTCACACTCCAACAGCACGTCAAAATATTAAAACCATTTGTCCCATTCACTCCTATCAAACACGTCACGCATGCCTGCTGGAAGTCCAAGCCCCTCGCACACAAAACCCCCTTTACCCCCCTCCTCCAACCCTTCCTAGGCCGACCCCTACCCCGCCTTCCTTCCTAACAGACTGATACACTCTTGAAGTCATTCTGTTTCGCTCCATTCTCTCTACATGTCGAACCACCTCAAAAACCCCTTTCCCCAGCCCTCTGGACAACAGTTTTGGTAATCCCGCACCTCCTCCTAACTTCCAAACTACGAATTCTCTGCATTATATTCACACCACACATTGCCCTCAGACATGACATCTCCACTGCCTCCAGCCTTTTTCCTCACTGCAACATTCATCACCCACGCTTCAACCCAATAAGAGCGTTGGTAAACTATACTCTCATACATTCCCCTCTTTGCCTCCAAGGACAAAGTTCTTTGTCTCCACAGACTCCTAAGTGCACCACTCACTCTTTTTCCCCCATCAATTCTATGATTCACCTTATCTTTCATAGACCCATCCCCTGACACGTCCACTCCCAAATATCTGAATACATTCACCTCCTCCATACTCTCTCCCCCAATCTGATATTCAATCTTTCATCACCTAATCTTTTTGTTATCCTCATAACCTTATCTCTTTCCTGTATTCACCTTTAATTTTCTTCTTTTGCACACCTACCAAATTCATCCACCAATCTCTGCAGCTTCTCTTCAGAATCTCCCAAGAGCACTGTGTCATCAGCAAAGAGCAGCTGTGACAACTCCCACTTTGTGTGTGATTCTTTATCTTTTAACTCCACGCCTCTTGCCAAGACCCTCGCATTTACTTCTCTTACAACCCCATCTATAAATATATTAAACAACCACGGTGACATCACACATCCTTGTCCTAAGGCTACTTTTACTGGGAAAAATTTCCCTCTTTCCTACATACTCTAACTTGAGCCTCACTATCCTCGTAAAACTCTTCACTGCTTTCAGTAACCTACCTCCTACACCATACACTTGCAACATCTGCCACATTGCCCCCCTATCCACCCTGTCATACGCCTTTTCAAATCCATAAATGCCACAAAGACCTCTTTAGCTTACTAAATACTGTTCACTTATATGTTTCACTGTAAACACCTGGTCCACACACCCGTACCTTTCCTAAAGCCTCCTTGTTCATCTGCTATCCTATTCTCCGTCTTACTCTTAATTCTTTCAATTATAACTCTACCATACACTTTACCAGGTACACTCAACAGACTTATCCCCCTATAATTTTTGCACTCTCTTTTATCCCCTTTGCCTTTATACAAAGGAACTAGCATGCTCTCTGCCAATCCCTAGGTACCTTACCCTCTTCCATACATTTATTAAATAATTGCACCAACCACTCCAAAACTATATCCCCACCTGCTTTTAACATTTCTATCTTTATCCCATCAATCCTGGCTGCCTTACCCCCTTTCATTTTACCTACTGCCTCACGAACTTCCCCCACACTCACAACTGGCTCTTCCTCACTCCTACAAGATGTTATTCCTCCTTGCCCTATACATGAAATCACAGCTTCCCAATCTTCACCAACATTTAACAATTCCTCAAAATATTCCCTCCATCTTCCCAATACCTCTAACTCTCCATTTAATACCTTCCTCTCCTATTTTTAACTGACAAATCCATTTGTTCTCTAGGCTTTCTTAACTTGTTAATCTCACTCCAAAAATTTTTCTTATTTTCAACAAAATTTGTTGATAACATCTCACCCACTCTCTCATTTGCTCTCTTTTTACATTGCTTCACCACTTCTTAACCTCTCTCTTTTTCTCCATATACTCTTCCCTCCTTGCATCACTTCTACTTTGTAAAAATTCTCATATGCTAACTTTTTCTCCCTTACTACTCTCTTTACATCATCATTCCACCAATCGCTCCTCTTCCCTCCTGCACCCACTTTCCTGTAACCCCAAACTTCTGCTGAACACTTAACACTACATTTTTAAACCTACCCATACCTCTTCGACCCCATTGCCCATGCTCTCATTAGCCCATCTATCCTCCAATAGCTGTTTTATATCTTTCCCTAACTGCCTCCTCTTTTAGTTTATAAACCTTCACCTCTCTCTTCCCTGATGCTTCTATTCTCCTTGTATCCCATCACCTTTTACTCTCAGTGTAGCTACAACTAGAAAGTGATCTGATATATCTGGGCCCCTTTTATAAACATGTACATCCTGAAATCTACTCAACAGTCTTTTATCTACCAATACATAATCCAACAAACTACTGTCATTTCGCCCTACATCATATCGTGTATACTTATTTTCCTCTTTTTTTTAAAATATGTATTACCTATAACTAAACCCCTTTCTATACAAAGTTCAATCAAAGGGGTCCCATTATCATTTACACCTGGCACCCCCAAAATTACCTACCACACCCTCTCTAAAAGTTTTCTCTACTTTAGCATTCAGGGGCCCCTACCACAATTTCTCTCTCACTTGGTTCAAAGGCTCCTATACATTCACTTAACATCTCCCAAAATCTCTCTCTCTCTCCTCTGCATTCCTCTCTTCTCCAGGTGCATACCACGCTTATTATGACCCACTTCTCGCATCCAACCTTTACTTTAATCCACATAATCTTGAATTACACATTCATTTTCTCTTTTCCCCTTTCCCATAACTGATCATTTAACATTACTGCTACCCTTCCTTTGCTCTAACTCTCTCAGATACTCCAGATTTAATCCATTTTTTTCCCCCCCACTGAAAACTCCCCTACCCCCTTCAGTTTGTTTCGCTTAGAGCCAGGACATCCAATTCTTTCCATTCATAACATCAGCAATCATCTGTTTCTTGTCATCCGCACTACATCCACGCACATTTAAGCATCCCAGTTTTATAAAGTTTTTCTTCTTCTCTTTTTAGTAAATGTATACAGGAGAGGGGGTTACTACCCCATTGCCCCCGGCATTTTAGTCGCCTCATACGACACGCTTTGGCTTACGGAGGAAAGATTCTTTTCCACTTCCCCATGGACAATAGAAGAAATAAAAAAGAACAAGAGCTATTTAGAAAAAGGGGGAAAACCTAGATGTATGTATATATATATATGCATGTGCGTGTCTGTGAAGTGTGACCAAAGTGTAAGTAGGAGTAGCAAGATATCCCTGTTATCTAGCGTGTTTATGAGACAGAAAAAGAAACCAGCAATCCTACCATCATGCAAACAGTTACAGGTTTTTGTTTCACAGTCATCTGGCAGGACGGTAGTACTTCCAGGGTGGTTGCGGTTTCAAAACCCATACTAAAATTAACTCATGTATCATTCTTATATACAAGAATACCTGACATAATGTGGGGGTCATATTCCTCAAAATTGGTTCTTTATGTAATTTCGCACTATGAAATACGAGTAATTCATAGAAAAAATGGAGTTAGGTTCAAGGCACCTATGAAAAGTCACAAAAATAGGTAGTTGTATTAGCAGTAGATAGGTTTATTAGTACTGAACAGTAGATAGTTATATTAGTACTGGGCAGTATATACACCTACCATCCGACTTACTACCAAGCTTGGTTCCGACCAACCGGTCGTAAGTCGAAATGGACGTAAGTCGAACTTTTGAAAATTGCCGACATATTGGGTAGGGCATAATGTCAAAACTTTCCTGTATAAACTACCTACATAATATTGTAATGTAATGTACAATCATTATTTCATTCTTTTTACCATAATTTACTTCTATTGTTGTATTTTAATTATTTATGTACTGTATATAATGTATACATGGTAGTGATATGTACAGGTCCCCCTCAGCATTCGCGAAGGTTAGGGGATCAAGAGCCTCGCGAATGTTGAAAAACTGTGAATGTTTGGTGCCCCAATATATTGTAGGGAAATATATTACAATACTGCTTCCTTAACTTGTTGAACCATGAATAATCATAAAATACATGAAAACGTCATAAATTGTACTAAATATATACATGTTATGCTTTAATAACGTATGTTATTTAATAACATGTATGTTAATAACATGTATGTTATTAAATACCACAGACTCCACCACTCCCTCCACCAATGCCTCCAACAAAGCCTCCACCACTGCGAGTCCCTACTACCCTCCCCCCGACCCAGCAACTGGAGCCAGCCCTCCCACCCCCTCAGTGTGGTGAGTGTTTTGTTTGTTCATTATTGCTATTAAAACAAAATAAATAATGTAAACCCCTTCATGACTGCATATTGGAATGACTATTAGGAAAGGAATTTGACGGTGACATCATGTGTTTACTTTTGAACACAGCAAAGAATCGAACATTTCTTCTATTGCTAATAATAACAATAGTAATAATAATAATAATAATAATAATAATAATAATAATAATAATAATAATAAATACTATATAATTGAAGAAGGAAATTGTACAAAAATACGAGGGAGTGGTTGACACATCATCAGTGTGACTTTGTTTATGCTGGAGTGAACATAGTCCTCTGCTCTTCCAAACATTTCACAATAATTCAGCAGTTGAGGCAGTGGTATTTAATAACATATATGTTATAAATAATAATAGTACATGTTATTATTAATAACATGTATTATTATTAACATGCATGTATTTAATAACATATATGTTATAAATAATAATAGTACATATTATTAATAACATGTACATGTATTATTATTAACATGTATGTTATTAAATACCATTG